TTGGATCTGACACCCCTGTTTTCTTGTCACACTCCCCGTCCTCTGTGAGAACAGTTTACACACAGCTGAACTCAGCATGAACTTTCTGTTGTTATAATCTTTTTCCCTTCAACGGTTCCCTCACTTTTAAAATTCATGCTCTTCCTTCTACAGCTGTTTATGGAAAGGGTGATCCAAATAAAGGTAGTTTAGAAGGGTTCTAACTCATACACATAAACTAGAATGAACCATGAGCATTCTTCTGCAGACATGGCCCAGATCAGACATGTCAAATTCCTTCCCTGGGTTTAGTCTAAGTAGAGAGCTCCTTCCCCCAGCACCTTGGAACTAGAAGGCTGTGGTCACAGACTTTCATGACCACCTCCCTCTCTTCTGCCCACACCCTCAGGGAAAGAGAACCCATTTGAAGAGGGTGAGAATAGAGACAGGTCCTGAGGTGACCCGGGGGTGAAGGGACATAGTGTGTCCCACCTCAACCCTGTGAGTCCCCAGGCTTGCCGGCTTTCACTCTATGAGCCCTTTGGTATTTTATTTGCACCGTTTATGCCACCAGCACCTAACCAGGATTAAAATACAAGGTTATATTCTATTGGCAAATAAGTTACCCACAATATTTTTTCCCTACTCAAAATCCTTCTTGGTCCAAACTTACCTTTCGGATCCAGTCTCTTTTGCATATCATATAGGCATGTACTTATTGTCCCCTGAACATCCCTGCTCTTTCCCTCTGCAGTGTTAAGCCCCACGCTGCCATAAAAGCATGCCTATCCATTGCTGAAAAATTGCCACCTGGTTCAATCCCAGATTCCAGCACTGCCCAACCCCCCAAAACCTGAAAGCAGTACTTCCCCAGTCCTGTGACCAGTCCCTCCTCTCAGCCCACTCTCTGTAGCTCACACTCCTCAGTGACTGCGGTGTTTCCTACTGGCTTACCCTCCCCCCACCCCATTTCCAACATGAACTCCTGAAGATGGTGGAACTCTCTGGTACCTGTGAAATGTACCCAACCATTCATTTTTTAATAACATCTTTTTCTTTTATTATTCTAATATGGTTTTTTTCACAATTTAATATTAATCATGCCACATACAATTAGCAGCATTATTTTCTTTCTTGGGGTACATAAATTCGAAGTGTATATCATATCTAAGTATATCTTAGATTCCTTGAAATAAAGCACCATTCAAATGCCCCGTAACAAACGCTCATTCTTCTGTCTTCTCAGTATTTCCTCAGCACCGTCTTCTTCTCCCACCACTGTTTCCAGTTTCGCCTCCTCCCGTTTTCTCAGGCAGAGTCAGACTATTAGATCGCAAGGCGTCTGTGAAACACAATGGTGTTGCGGTGTCATGATCCCACACAACGGAATCACTTTGAATTCTGAATGTTCGCTGTAGGCTTCATCCCCGTTACTAGTCAAAAGTTTTTTTTATCTGCTCTGTGAATGGGCAGCTTCGTTACGAGCCGCAGTTTATGAAGACAATGTAGTCAGAAGCAGAGCGAGGTGGAGTCAATGACTTTCAGCCCAAACAATGCATCTAATCCGGTGGTCTTGGCCAGGCAGATCTATGGAGGGCCAGCCAGGGAGTCGTCATTGGCACGACTATGGTGGAGACCTACCATGAGTCCTAACACCTGTCCTTCCTGCAGCCTGGGAACCAGCTGAAACCACCTACCCAAATGGCCTTTGTTATGCATCTCCAAGCTTTCCCTCCTCCTCCCGTCTGTCTACACAGGGTGATCCTTTCATCCAAGGCAGTGGTTCTCAACCCGTGGGTCACAACCCCTTTGGCAAACCTCTATCTCCAAAACATTTACATTATGATTCATAACAATAGCAACATTACAGTTACAAAGTAGCAACTAAAATAATTTTATGGTTGGAGTCACCACAGCATGAGGAACTGTATTAAAGGGTCGCAGCATTAGGAAGGTGAAGAACCACAGCTCTAAGAAACTTTCTACCTTTATGAAATGTTCTACAGACCTGTGTTGTCCCGCAAGAAACCACAGGGATTTGGGGCTACAGAACAGAAAGCCTGAAGTAAAGTTAGTGCCACTGAGAACCAAGTTTCAACTTTATTTAACTTTAATTAATTAAATTTAGATGTGCTGTAGCACACCATGCCTGTCTGCGCTCTATGTGCTACCATACAGTTCATGAACTGGGCAAGGGGCTGGAGATTGAAACACACAAAGACACACAGACAGAGACACGGATCATCCTTGATGCCAGATTGCCTCCTTTATTGTGTACCAGAGCCGCTTCTATAGAGATCCTTAACTGATAGCCATGCCCCAGCCAAATGCACCAGAAACCACTCCCCTGCCATCAGGAACTCCTGAGGGTCTCGTGCTCAGAGCAGCTGCAAGCATTACAAGTAGTTTACCAGAAATTCAGGATCAGGGGAGGTGGGGATTCAAAGCTCCCAACAGCCCACGGCTACCATATCAGAGAGTGTGTGAATGAATTACCATCACAACCAAGAGCCAAGTCCCTATTGTCAGAGTCTGTTAAGGGAGGTCCTCCCACTCCTCCAGCCTATCGCCGCTGAGATACCAGCCCATTGGGGCGTGGTCTCTCTCCCTTTAAAAAAGCGGCCACTTAACTCTCCTCTCTCTCTTCACTTCCTGCTCCGCCGGCGACTAGACTCACTTCCTGGTTGCGCAGAGGGCTGACAGTGATCTGTAAGTTTTTTCCCCTTTAAATAAATACCACCCTATTAATCATAATTCCAAACTGGTGTGGCATTGTTTATGACTTATGCCTTCAAGAGTCCAGCTCCGGCAGGGCTCAGGTCCCAAAGAGGAGGTGCTACAGTCTGAATATAGATGTCTCCCAGAGGCTCACATGTCTGAATTCTCTGTCCCAGCTGGTAGCACTGTTTTAGGAGACCGTGGAATCTCTGGGACATGTGACTTGGCTAGCATATGGTCACAACGGTTGGAAAGGTTGGCTTCAAAGGCTTTATCTGCACATGTCTCTGCCCGAGGTTTCTGCTCTGAGCACAAGATCCACCAATTTGAGTAGCCTCAGCCATTCCTGCCAGTATGAACTCTTCCCCTTGATGCCAGACAAGAACAATGAAACAAACCGTTCTTCTTTTCAGTTACTTCTGTTACAACACAAAAGCAGCTACTACAGGAGACAGCTAGGAGACAGGATTAACTGAGCTCCGTGTTCCTGAACTTTGCAGTCTCGAGAAACACCATCAGATACCTTGTGCCCTGGGGACCTGTTCAACTTCCAGCAAGGCTGCAGACTAAGATGGGTCATGTGGACCATCAGCTACACCAAGCTTCCCTAAAACGTGTGTACACTTTGATGAGCAGGTTGACTTTTCCTGGATACGCATCATTGCTGGGGAAAACAAGCACAATTGATATAGATCCAAGAGGAGAGAACATTTTAGAGTTCTGCACTTGCTCTCCCAGACCCTTTCCTGGACACCTCTTCCTTTGCTGGTTCTAGCTCTACAATATGGTAATACATGGTAATCATGAAGATAATGGTTCGTCTGAGTTCCGTCTGAGTTCCGTGAGTCCTTCTCGAGAGTTCTTAAATCTCAGGGTAGCCTCAGAAGCTTACTGAGCTTGCAGCCACCTAAGGCAATGTATGCCACAGTGGAACCTAGACCAGTCTGGCTGATACTGCTCTATCCCACAGCCTCTGAACTGGTGGGCTAGAAGCTACAGCTGGGGTCAAGGCTGGTAGCTAGAGATGGTGAGTCTTTAGCATGGGCAAGGGACCATTGAAAGGAGTGACTGGAACCAGTGGACACAAGGTATCTATGTAAGGAAATAGAGGACAGGCGGTGGGGAGTGATCCCGGAGAAGGAACCAAGATGTGAGAGCCCAGTCACGCTGAGGGAGCGGGAGCGAGAAGATCACACAGCGGCATCAGGCCCCTCCCTGGCTTGGAATCCAGGGAGGTTCTGATATTCCTGTGTGCCTTGTCCTCAGGACTAAACCCTGCCCTGCAGCAGACTCTGCAATCTGGAGCATACTTAATTTGAAGCAAGATTTTGCCCCACTTTGAGGATCACTTTTCTGCTCTTGACTAGCTAGCTACCCAGCCCTTTACAGGAAGCTGGTAGGGACAGTAAGAAAGAGGGTAACGCGACGTCCGTTAGTAAGCAAGGATCTGGAGGGGGAGATTCCCTCTGCTCCTCAAAGACAACCTTCTGACCCCAAATGCCTTAACTTAAAAAGCCTCTTATCAAAATCATATCCTTTGTACCACCCAAAATTCTGGTAGAGATTACCTTAAATTTTCTGGTCATCTGCTCCCACAATTTAGTGTCAGCTAAACGAGCCAGACTACTGTCTTAATGTTCACTCAGTGGCAGTAGAAGAAACAGCCACTTCTAGAAGTGAGGGGTAAGTCACTCTAGGGTGTGGGCCCTTCTTGGAGTGGGTGGGATCTCTAGGGTGGTAGCTGGATGCAGACACGGGGATAATGATAATGATGATGATGATCAAGGACACTATCTTGCTGAGGAAGAAGGGGAGGAACTCGAAACAGGAAGTGGGGTATCTGACTAGATTTCCACTGCAGACCCCGTTCCCCTCTCTCCATCACACTGTGCTTTCTCCAATACTCAAGTCCTGGTATAGTCTCAGCCCTCGGTACATTCCACAAGGATGCCTCGAGGGGGCAGCACTGAGCTGGCTTCATGAGAATCTCGCAAGAGCCTGGAAATGCTTTTCTAGACAAACCTAGAGTAAAACCAGCAGGAAGCAGAATGGGTCTGTGGGTGAGTGAGGCAGAGGGGGAAAGAGGACACAGACGTACACTATGTATGTAGAATGGGTATTGCTTAGAGAGGCTCAGCAAAGGAAAAGACGACTGGACACAGGGTGGGGACTCCGTGTTAATGAATGACTGAATGAAGAGGGAAATGAATAATTTCCTCTAGCATTTATAAAATCATGCTGGTTGCCAGTTTTGTTTAAGCCAAATCACTTCCCGTCTCCGTTCTGAGAGCTTTTCCCTCCAATGTAGGCACTTAATCCAACTGAATGAGTTCACAGACTTTTGCACCCAGTTTCTTACCCAGAATGCCCCCTATAGTTTGTCCTTCATTTTCTTTCTTCACTTACTGAGCATCTCAGAACATTCGGGAGGCCTTTGAGTCTTTTATTAAGTAGGCGTGGGGGAAGTTCTTGGGAACAAGTTCACATAGAACAAAGGACAGCGCTGTTGAGAGGGGGGAGTGTGTGATGTGGAACACAGCATGAACGAGGAAAAGATCCACCGATACGGGGGTGAGGGCAGCTGGAGGTCCCTGGGCTCCTCCAAGCCAGGAGCAGCTGCTTGGCCTGGTGCAGGAAGTGTGGTCATTAGGTCCATGTGTCCACCGAGAGTTGGCCACGCCCTGTCCTAGACACAGCCTTGGAATCCCTAGGCAAACACTGACCAATAAATTAGGTTGAAAAATATATAGAAGGCTGGAAATATCAACCTGGAGTATTTGTCAATGGCGTGGGTGTTCTGGAAGATGTAGAGCCCCACTTGACCTTTGAGAAGGCCTTTCTTTCTGGAGGTTGCCAGTTCACTGTTAAGGGCCAAATGGACCACGATTTTGTCTTGTCTTTCTTCTTCTGGCAGAATGTGGCTTCTTGGGTAGCCAGCCAGGCTGTTGGCCTCAGACTCACTGTAACTTCCATCCAGCGTCATGGTTCTTGAGTGAGGCATTCCACACGCGCATGGAATCTATGGGCAGCAAGCAAAAGGCTCAGTTAGAGCTTGAGGAGAGGAAGTGGCCTGGTTACAAAGTGACGACCCATTGCCACTCTGGCGTCCTGAAGATGGGGAGAGAAAGCGGCCTGGTTACAGAGGGACAACCCATTGCCACTCTGACGTCCAGACAGGTGAAGTTCTGAGGACCTCGGAGAGCACCGAGTCCAGCAATTCTTTACACTGGCTGCATTGCACACTGTCTCTAAGCTGGCTTAAATCTTCCAAGTGGTTCTGCTGTTATGTAGCAGTTTCCTCACAACTGAAACATTCCATCCTTCAGGGAAGCTCATTAAGACAGACACTATGATGGTTTGAAAGAAAATGGTGCCCTCAGGGAGTGGTCCTATTAGGAAGTATGGCTTTGTTGGAGTAGGTGCATCCTTGCTGGAGGAGGTGTATCACTGTGGGGGTGGGCTTTGAGGTCTTGTAGGCTCAAGCTACACCTAGTATGGCACACAGTTGCTTCTACTGCCTATGGATCAAGATACAGGACTCTCAGCTCCTTTTCCAGCACCATGTCTGCGTGCTACCATGACAATAGTGGATGAAACTTCTGAACTGAGGTCAGGCGGTGGTGGTGCATGCCTTTAATCCCAGCACTCAGGAGGCAGAGGCAGGTGGATAGCTGTGAGTTTTATTTGAGGCCAGCCTGGGCTACAGAGTGAGTACCAGGGCAGGTTCCAAAGCTACACAGGGAAAACCCTGTCCAAACAACCAAACCTTGGAATTTCTGTCTCTGTGAAACACGGTTAATTGTTCTAACCTTAACTTGGGCCTGGGACTTAACAGAGCAGATGACATCACATATAAAATAACTCAAAACCTAGATAAGCCCCAGATAATTTCTATATAGAGGTGGCTTCCTTTGGGCACTAGCCCAAACTGGACACACACTGTTGCTGTTAAAAGAGTTTGTCCTGAATGTGTGAAGTAAGTTCTCACTGGGTACTTACTTCTCTGGGACAGTAAGTCAGGGTGTGTGTGTGTGGTGTCGCCAGGGGACTGAGCTCAGGGCTTTGTACTGTGGTTAATACAGCATTCCTGTAGGAAATGTCTTGTTTGCATTGCACGTTACAGCCCAATGTGATAGACTACAGTGTTGGAAGGACAGCACGTCTAGGGAACCCAAGAGTGAAGACTTAGCCTTAATTCACACTTGGCTAATGTTTGCAGAGCATCAGTCAGAAAGGAGCTTCGGGAAGCCTGGGGGTGTAACTCATTGCTTAAGTATTCTTATTTGCAGATGAAATGATTTTAGACATAAAAGACTCCATCTGGAAATGTATACAGCTGATAAATATTTTTAGCAAAGGAGCAGGACGCAGAGGTGATACACAAAAATCAATGGCTTTCCTATATACAAATGATCGATGGAGAAAGAAATCAGGGAAATAGTACCTTTCAGAATAGATGAAAGATAGATAGATAGATAGATAGATAGATAGATAGATAGACTGAGATAACACTAATCAGGCAAGTGAAAGACTTGTTTAATTAAAGCTGCAAGATATTGAAGAAGACACCAGGAGGTGGAAGGCTCTCCCTTGCTCAGGAATTGGTAGGATTAATATAGTGAAGATGGCCATTCTACAAAAAGCAATCTACAGATCTACAGATGCCACACAAACCCCATCAAAATTCCAACATGGTTCTTCACAGGTATCGAAAAAACAATTTTCAGCCTCATATGGAAACAAATGACTAACAAAACAGGACAGCTAAGACAACCCTGAATAATAAAAGAACTGCTGGTGATACCACCATCCCAGAGCTCATCACCATAGGGCTATAGTCCACACACACACACACACACACACACACACACACACACCACATATTCGTATACTTGTGGATACCTAATCTTTAATAAGGAAGTCAAAAGTACACACTGGAGAAAAGACAGCATCGTCAGCAAGAATGGAGCTGGTCAAACAGCATGGATGCATGTAGAGGAATGCAAATGAGCCATACCTATCAAGTCCAGCTGGATCTCAGCATAAGACCTGATATTCTGGATCTGATGAAAAACGGGGAACAGACCTGAACTCACTGGCCTGGGAAAGGACTCTCTGAACAGGGCACCAACGGCACAGGCACTGGGAACAATTAATAAACAGGACCTCAGGAAACTGAAAAGTTTCTGTATGACAGAGGACATTATCATTTGGAAAATGTCTCAGGCTACAGATTGGGAAATGATCTTTATCAGTTATATATCTGATAAAAGATTAATATCTAAAACATATCTGAAAAAAAAAACTAGAAAGCCCTGAACATCAAGAAAACAACCCAATTTAAAAAGTGAGGTAGAGAACTAAGCAGAAAGTTCTCAAAAGGTGAAATACAGATGGCTGAGAAACACTTAAATGTTCAATAACCTTAGTCATCAGCGAAATGCAAATTAAAAGTTCTTTGAGATTTCACCTTACCTCAATCAGATTGGCTAAGATCAGTTAAGCAAATGGCAGGAGCCGGAGGGATGGCTCAGTGGTTGAGAGCCCTGGCTGCTCTTCAAGAGGACCCGGGTTTGATGCCCAGCACCCGTATGGCAACTCACAGCTGTCTGTGTGCTTCCAGTAGCAGGGGATCCAGCACCCTCACACAGACATCCATTCATGCAAAACACCAACATACAAAAAAATAAAAAGAAAATAAATAAACAAATAAATAAATAAAATGGCAATCCACGCTGGTGAGAATGTGAGGAGTTGGTGAACAGGTTACCTACTGATGGTGGGAGTGTGAGCTTATACAACCACTACAAAAATCTGCGTGGTGGTTCATCAGGAAGTGGAGAATATATCTACGTCAATATCCAGCCATACAACTCTTGGACATATACCCAAAATACTCTCCATCCTACTACAGAGACACTTGATCAATCATGCTCATTGCTGCTCTATTCATAACAGCCAGAAACTGGAAACAGTCTAGATGTTCAACTAATAAACAGATAATGAAAGTCGAGGTACATTTCACAATGGACTATTATTCAGCTGTTAAGAAAAATGAAGTTACAAAATTTGTAAGGAAATGGGTGGAGTTAAAAAATAATTCTTCCTGCCAGGCGGTGGTGGCGCACGCCTTTAATCCCAGCACTCGGGAGGCAGAAGCAGGTGGATCTCTGTGAGTTCAAGACCAGCCTGGTCTACAAGAGCTAGTTCCAGGACAGGAACCAAAAAGCTACGGAGAAACCCTGTCTCGAAAATTCAAAAATAATAATAATAATAATAATAATAATTCCTGAGTAAGGTAACCCAGACCCCAAAAGACAAATATTGTATGTTTTCTCTTATATGTACATGTTAGCTTTAAAGCCTTCAATATACATGCCACAATCTGGATAACCACAGAGGTTGGGGACTTGGGAAGGGACTAGTGGGGAGGAGAGGGTCTCCCAAGGAAGGGGAAATAGAATACATTTTTATGGAGAGACAAAGAAGAAATTGGAATAAGATTAAATAGGAAGGCTGATAGGAAAAAGGAAGGAATGTAGGGAGGGATAACTAGCACTAATTATTTGAAAATCATATGGGAACTACTACTGTAGAAGTTTCCTAAAATAATACATATATAAAAGAAATATAAACAAAGACACCAAATAATGAGGGCGACAGTGTCCAACTAGACATATTATGGTACAAAAATTTAAAAAAAAAACAGTACCAGGAATGGTTTACATATTGTTGGGTCATTGGCTCTTTGGCCAAAGAGCCTCCTAGAAACCCCAAACATCACAGGCTACGGTCACTCTCCACAACCAGAAGGTAAGGCCCTATTGCTGAGGACAACACTTATATAACTCATTGAACATGGAAGAGTCTTGTTGACACCTAACTAGAAGTTGCACCCCTACTGACTAGCATTCATGGTACTAGAAGGTATTGTACATGCTACCAGAGGAGAAAGATAGTCTTCAACCCAACCGTAAACCCTGTGACCTACAAGAGAGACCTGTCTGCAAGATATACTGGCACCATAGTGGTACAATAGTTACAGAAGTATCTACCGACATTCTGATTGTATGGATTTAAGGCTCACTCCATGCACATATTGCTAAAGTGACCAAGAACCTGAAACTCGATAGGCCATCGGCCTAGGTAAAAACCAAATGCTAAAGAACATAGAAATAAAATGAGTCCTGAGGGCATTCTTCTATATCCACAGATCAGGGTCTCACTCAGCCATCATCAGAGAAGCTTTTTCTCGCAGTAATGATAATTACCATAGAGACCCTCAACAGCACAGTGTACAAAGTGAGAGAATTTGGAGCACTCAGTCCTAAATGGGATGCCTTCATCAGACTTTCCCCCAGGGTTCAGGGATCTACGTGAAAGAGAGGACAGCAGATTGTAAAAACCACAGGCGATGGAAGACTCTCAGGAACCCGTGTCTTCCAGTCGGAAAAGGACTCACAGAGACTGTGACAGGATGCACAAGGCTTGCGCAAAGTTCAGGCCAGATTGGGGTCCCCGCACTGAAAGGGGGAAGTGGACAGGGGCTCACATGCCTAACCAAAAAGCTATCTGTAATTGATATCCACTGGCAAGGAAAAATTAGTTTCCACCATCGGAGTCTCAGAAATCTATTAGCCTATCGCTTATGATCAGCAGCAACATAAAAAACACAGTAGTATTTTTGTAGACTGCTTGTTTTATTTTGCTTTGTTTGGGCATTTTTTCCTTTTGTCTTATTGGTATTTTGTTTGTATATTATGGTGTCAGATTTTGTGGGGGATTTTGAGAGGGTGTTTCTTGTTTTTTTGAACGGGTTTTTGTTGTTTGTTTGTTTGAGACAGGGTTTCTATGGGTAGCCCTGGCAGTCCTGGAACTTACTTTATAGACCAGGCTGACCTTGAATTCAGAGATCTCCCTGCTTTTGCCTTCCAAGTGCTGGAATTAAAGGTGTGTGCCACCACTGCCTGGCTTTGTTTTTTAAAAAGAAAGAGAGAATTGGGCGGGGGGGGGGGGGGGGGGGGGGGGGGGGGGGGGGGGGGTGGAGAAGAATATAAAGTTGAGTTGGCTGAGAGGTGGGGGAGGGGCTGGGAGGAAATGGGTAAGGGGAATCCATGATCAAGCTATACTGCATGAAAAAGAAACAGTTTTGGATCTTAGGGTTGGAGCACTAGATGGCGGTGCCTGCTGCGGCTCCTGCATGCCTGCTGCTGACACTTGCTGTCAAGGTCGAGGAATGCAAATGGTACCATACACCACACTTAAAGAGCTTCTCGCCTACCCACAATTTCCGTCCCAGCAGGGCAAGAAGAGAACTGTTCACACTTTGGCATTAATGTCCCTCTTTCCACAGGCATTGGCCCCTCCTAACTGTCCCCACCCAACCAAGGAACTAATTCTCATCCAAACTCTAGCCCAGCTTACAAGAGAAAAGGATCGAAGTCTCCTCACCTTCTCTCGAAACTTCTGTTCCTTCTGTTCCTGCACTGTGGTCAGGTAATTGACAGCCGCGTACTCCAGCACTGAGAGGAACACAAACACGAAGCTGACCCAGAGGTAGATGTCCACGGCCCGGATGTAGGACACTCGGGGCATGGAGGCATTCACGCCCGTGATGATGGTGGACATGGTCAGCACTGTCATGATGCCTGTAAAACCATCTTAGTTCAGGTGCTGCCCCACCCCAGAGGTGTGCCCACATCCCACAGACACGATTTCACTTTCTCTGTCTCTTTAAATCAGGTGAGAAGTTTCCTGGACGTATTTCCACCCGGTAGAGGAGTGAGGCCTTGCTTCCTAAACAATCAGGCCTTCCCTGACTCACCCCCTTCCAGAACTCAAGAAATAGCTGCCTGCTTTCAGTCACCTGGGGAGTCTGGGTTTCTGTGATGTGTCTGACAAGGTCATGTCTCATGAGTGACCATTTGTGGTGTGGAATTCAACACTGACTCAAGAACACCTCTGAAGGGACAAGCACAGTTAGTTAATTCCCCTTGTCTAAGCCACATTTATTAAGCTCTGTCCCGTTCTTCTCCACTGTGGTTTGCCTGATAAGTTCTCCCATTTGTCAGGGTCCACCCTGATTTTATCTGAATTGCAAGGCTGGATTGTAAATTTTCCCTTTGGAATTCAGGGTCTGGCAGAAGCCAGAACACAGCCCTCACCCCAGGAACCGCCTGCCTCCAGTCTTGGACTGTCCAAGCCAGCAAGGCGCTAGAGTTTACAAAATAATTGTTGGCATTTGCCGACTCGTTCATTGACATTTTAGTACTTCATTCTCATACTGGCATGAAAAGGTTGGGGTTTCCAGATTGGCTCCACCTTTGAATTGATGCAGACTGAGGGGTACAATGATAGTTCCCCAGGTTTTCACAGTATAGATAGAGGAGGCAAAGGCAGGAAAGTTCCCCTTCAACTCACAAGCTCACAGGTAAGAATTCTAAAGATTTACTTTACTTTTTTTTCTAAAGGTCTCTCTAAGTAGCCCAAGTTGGCTTCAAACTTATAGTCTTCCAGCTCCAGCCTGAGTGCTGGGATTAGGTGACTGAGCCACCATGCCCAGCCCAGGAGTTTAATTCTCCGCTACCTAGCGATCAGCTGAAAGACCAAAAGCATCCTCCCATGCCTTATCAAGTACTTTTACCCAGTGAGACTCTGGCAGGCACAGCTCTGTGGTCGATCCAGAAGGACACCCAGGATAGCATGACCATCAAGGTGGCGGGGAAATAGGTTTGGAGCAAGAAGAAGAAGATGTGGCGGTGTAAAGTAAAGTTGATATAGAGTCGGTTATACCAGCCTGGGGGGACACAGGAAGAAGGAGTGAGGTTCCCGCCAGAGCATCCCCGGAACCCATATTCCCTGGAACCCTTATTCCCCGGAACCCTTATTCCCCGGCACTGCTCACCAACTACAGAAAGGAAGTTCCGCAGGCGTGATACAATGCCTTCTCTCCTAACATGCGAGCCCTTGCTGCAATAACCACCTAGTACACACTCTTATGAAGTCTGACCTAACTTTCCCCAGCAATTTGGGGAAAGCATAGAAGGAAGCACAGATTTACTTCGTAGTTTATCACTTGCAAACTACGGCTGTGTCTCTGCTCGGGAGTTTAAGAAGGTAGAGTGGTTTTCTATGTTCTGAGGCCAGTGTTGCTGGGTCAGGAGCTGGAAGAGACGGGCTCTCACCCTGGGCCTGGCTGGCACTCCCTCGGTCACACCAGCACAGAAGCAGGCTGTTCACAAAACTCGGAAGTCTGGCATCGCTTCTAATTCCGACACTCCATCCTCCTCCTGGGGTCCTTTACTTGGGGATAAACCTGATGCTATAGTACCAACTCATTGTGCACTCTGAGAACCCCCGATCAATAGCTGTATAAAGAGTTTGACTGTGTAAGAGTGGGCTGTGTTTGGCAGGCTCTTCTGTGGCCTTATTTGCCATCACAGCCGTGCAGGGAAAAGTATTTCTTATCGTATCTTAACTACACTTTGATTTTTCCTGCTGGCAGCTGAACCCAGGGCCTAGCAGTGACTGTGCTACCCGTGACTCACACCACCAGCCCCAGCAGGGTCTTTCCTGCTCTTAAAAAGTGATATTTGAAGGCCAGGCAATGGTGGCACATGCCTTAATCCCTGTGCTCAGGAGGTAGAGTCAGGCGGAGCTCTGTGAGTTCCAGACCAGCCTGGTCTACAGAGTGAGCTCCAGGACAGGAAGGGCTACACCATGAAACTCTGTGTTGAAAAACCAAAATAATTAATAATAATAATATATAAAATATAAAATAAGTGCTATTTGGGACTGTTTTATTTGAATAGTCAAATCAAAATTCTATTTGCTGAGCGTGGGAAGGGTTAAGGCTGGAAGACTCAAATGTGTTTCTTCCACATTTGAGTCTCACTATGACGGAAATTAGCTACCAGTACTGCTGTAGAAGGCCAGTCTGGAAGTTGTGTGAAATTTCTGAATCAGAAACTGGGACAAGGAGATCTTGTCATCCGTTTTCAGGGACTCGTCCCCATTCTTCCAGTACAGCATCAGATCTTCATCTGTGTACGCATCTTGGGGAGAGGAAGACAAGTGAAGTCGACACCTTTACCCTCTTACGGACACTCTGTGCCTGGGTGAACAGCTGTTACCGCAGGGTGCAGTTCTCCAGCACACAGCCCTCCGGGGGCATGAGACGGGAGAGGGGAAGGCAAAGGCAAGAACTCGTGGACACTTACAGCTCTCTAGCTCCAAAGAGCAGGTCTGGGAGTCCAGGGGGAAGTGACTGAAGTCCATGTTGCACATGGCGGTGACCGTAATTCTGCATGACACAGAGACATGAGCTGGCTTGAGGGTGGACCATCAGCCCAGGCTCTGCCCACGCTGAGGAAGACCCGGAACACCGCCCTTGCTGGGTCACCACCATGCATCAGGCATCTAAGCCATGGAAACGTAACTAGAGCCTTTGTCTTCTGGGACCCTGGTGGGGGTCCTTTATTGGGCTTGCTGTCCCCCAGCTGCGGGAGTGGGGGTGCTGGCTGCTAATTGCCCATGCTTGCACCCTTCTCTTATACCACCTCAGCCAGCAGGACAGCCTCCCTCAGAGATGCCTGGAAAGCGAGGCCAGCACCATCGTCCACCCAAGATAAGAGCCCATCTGGTACTAGCATTAATTTTGGAGACTCATATGAGCAGGCCAGGAATAAGGACCCTTGAACCACCAAGCTCGCACCAAAGCCAGTCTGCAATAGCACTTAATAAACAGCAGCTACTGTTGATCATTTTAAATTATTATTAGCAATCAACTAGAGTCTAAGGGATAAAAGGTCATTGTTCCCGTCAAGTCTGGCCAAACTAGTCTTTTAGCTCAAGTGTGAGACCCCAGCAAAGAGGAAGTTGCCATCTGCAGGGGTGGAGTCAGACTGAGTGGCATCAAAAGGCTTGTGCCAGCCCACAGGCCCTCCTACAGAGACACTCACCAGGGCTAAAGGAGCCGACGAGACACCCTGGACTGGACAGGAATAATGGCCCCAGGACGGTTACCTCATGCTGTAGAGCACGTGGCCGTCGGGGAACACTCTCAGCATGATGTTGTCAGTGGTGGTATCATGAATGAAGGACCTTTTGGAGTGAACAAAGAAGACGTCGGGAACCCAGATCTTCTTCACAAGCCTGCCATCAAAGGTCATGCTCTTGTTGCTGGTGCTGGAGAAGGCCAGCCTCTCGTCCTTCCAGTAATGCCTCAGGTACAGTGTCATTGTGAAGTCCTGGGAACCAGGGAAGAAGCCAGAAGCTCTTTAAATAGAACCGCTTAGAGAGCATCCCTCCCTGCAACTGACCCATTATCCTCCAATATAGAATACCCAAAATCCTCTACTGCAGAATACCCATCATCCTCTACTGTAGAATACCCATCATCATCTACTGTAGAATACCCATCATCCTCTACTGCAGAATACCCATCATCATCTACTGTAGAATACCCATCATCCTCTACTGCAGAATACCCATCACCCTCTACTGCAGAATACCCATCATCCTCTACTGCAGAATACCCATCATCCTCTACTGCAGAATACCCAACATCCTCTACTGTAGAATACCCATCATCCATTACTGCAGAATACCCATCATCCTCCACTACAGAATACCCAACATCCTCTACTACAGAATACCCATCACCCTCTACTGCAGAATACCCATCATCATCTACTGTAGAATACCCATCATCCATTACTGCAGAATACCCATCATCCTCCACTACAGAATACCCATCATCCTCTACTGCAGAATACCCATCATCCTCTACTGCAGAATACCCATCATCATCTACTGTAGAATACCCATCATCCTCTACTGCAGAATACCCATCATCCTCTACTGCAGAATACCCATCATCATCTACTGTAGAATACCCATCATCATCTACTGCAGAATACCCATCATCATCTACTGCAGAATACCCATCATCCTCTACTGCAGAATACCCATCATCCTCTACTGCAGAATACCCATCATCATCTACTGCAGAATACCCATCACCCTCTACTGCAGAATACCCATCATCATCTACTGCAGAATACCCATCTTCCTCTACTGCAGAATACCCATCATCCTCTACTGCAGAATACCCATCATCCTCTACTGCAGAATACCCATCATCCTCTACTGCAGAATACCCATCATCCTCTACTGCAGAATACCCATCTTCCTCTACTGCAGAATACCCATCTTCCTCTACTGCAGAACACACCAAACCTGCTTCCAGATTCAGAGTGATGACTCTGTGGCCCTGAGCACAATGGCCAATATGATGGTCAACATGATGGCACTGTGGCAATTGGGAAGAGATTGACTCATTTTTGTATCTGAAAACAGCTATGGTACCACAGCCTGACCACAGCCCAGCAGGGTACAGTGAAACCCTGGTCTTTTTCATGAGGTCCCCATGCACAGGGCTTCTTACTAGAATAAAAGATGAGCACTAGCAGTCAGTTGGGAAAGAAAGGTGTCACAATTCCCATCAGTGAATTTTCTTAGAAGAGCCTCAAGGCCATAACTAAGACACAGGGTTGGAGGAAGAGCATTAGGAACAGTATAATAAATGGAGCTCTAAACGTGACGGACCTTAAAGGGAAGGGGAGGCTTCCCTTAGAAACCTGAGGAACTTCATTAAGAGTAAGAATGAGAGCCGGGCGGTGGTGGCGCATGCCTTTAATCCCAGCACTCGGGAGGCAGAGGCAGGCGGATCTCTGTGAGTTCGAGGCCAGCCTGGACTACAAGAGCTAGTGCCAGGACAGGAACCAAAAGCTACGGAGAAACCCTGTCTCGAAAATCCAAAAAAATAAAAAATTAAAAAAAAAGAGTAAGAATGAGAAAGGAAAAGGAGAAGGGGAGGGGTCAAAGCCAGAGGGAAGGAGGGGATGTGAAAAGGGTGGGTCAGAGGAGCCTTTTCAGAAGAGTCCTTCTAGGCCACCTCCCCAGCAACCTCCCTCCAAAGTCTCAAACCAATGCCCTGAACAAAGGGAAGATTAGACTTTTCGGAACCCTTGAAGGTGTGGGAAGTTCCCTATCACATGATTTAGATCAGCAGACTATGTGACAAAGAGCCTGAAAGAGCCAAGGGTTATAAACTGAGAGCTGTCAAGTCACCGCAAAGACTGCAGAAGTCTCTTCCCAGAGGCAGCTCGGGGAGATGTAGCTGGCTTCCAACACTGCTCAACAGGTTTCAGATGAGTGGTCAGTGACAGAAACCTGGACAGTCAGGTGTCCCTCTTATGAAGATTTCTGGCACTGGACTGTGAGATCCTCGAAGGCAGAACTGTGTTCTTCACACACTGAATTATCACGCCATTGAATTGAATGTTTAGCAAGGCACATTTACCAGTAAGCGCTCAATAAATGCCTGCTAGATGCAGGCTGGGGATGTAGTCCTGTGTAGAGCACTTCTTTAACTCATGCAAGCTCCTAGGTGCAGTTGCCAGAACTATTAAAAATACGTTCTCACTGGAAAACTGGAGCAATAAATTCCGAGACAGGTGCACATTTACTATGGAGGACAGAGGGGAAAGTTTGCAAACTAACAGAATGAACATAAAGAGGACTGAAGGCGTGGAGGGGCAAGCTCCCCTTCAAGGTGAGGGAACCTCCTCAAGAGAGTCAAAAGACGGGATGAACATTGAGGGTGGGGAGGGGCTGCCACGGAAGGCTGGGAGCTGTGCTCACACAAGAATGGAAAATCAGATCCTTGAAGGATTTCAATCAGAAAGCCATCTCCAGCACTCCTCCAAGTGTGATTCCTTGGGCCCCTTGCATGTTATTACTCGCAGTAGACTTTCAAAAGGCAGATATGGGCTTCAGTCCCCAACTAATATTTCCAGTAGAAACAATAACCCTACTCTAGATGTTACTGTACCCGGGTCAGCTACCCCCAAGATCCAATCTGGTCACCTTCTGCTTTCACAGTCACAACCTGCACCCCAGAGGCCTCCATGCTCTTGGCATCTCAAAAGTGTGATCCCTCACCGATGAGGTCAGCCCGGGGCAGTGCCTACCATGTCCACCTCGGAGATGCTGTCCAGACTCTCCACCTGCACGTCCACACCCACAGGGATGGCCGGGCCTGTGGGAGAGCAGAGACAGCTGAGTAAGACACAGTCCTCTCTATCTGGGGTAGAGGGACAACCCAGCAGCTTCCCTGTGGAGTGAGGGTCGCCTCAGGGGTAAAGCAGGACTCAGATTTCTATGTGGGGTGCTTACTGCTCACCCCTGATCTATAAAATGCCTATGCTTTATCACTGAGGTCAGAGACCGGGGCGCCAGCCCACACTGCTCCCAAGCTGAAGGGAATGTTCTCTGTGCTTGCTGGGCAAGTTACAAACTGGACTATGCCTCTATCCTGGGCTGTATCTGCAGCGGAACTGGAAGCAACGGTGTGACCACAGTGCCTGAGTGGAGATCGTGGTCCCTGACTGACCCAAGGTTGAATCACCTTCCTACAGAGAAGCTAACGTACAGCAGGAGTCCTGCCCTCTGGTAGCTTTCAGTCTGGTATGGGATGAGTTCTCTACCAAGTTAGATCACAGCGCAAAACAACACTGTGAAGGTTCTCGTGCACCGGGTAAGACTCCATGGCCAGATTTCTAAAACTGTTTATCTAGGGGTCGTGTCTTTTTCTTGAGCTGGATGAGAGTTACATTGGTGAGTTTATTTAGTGAGAAGTTGTTGAACAGAGCACGTGGTTTGTGCACTTTTTAATCAATGTATACTGAAGAGAAAAATCTTTTAAATGATTTTGATATTAATGAGGTCAGACATAGTGGTGCATGCCTGTAATCCCAGCTAGTCAGAACACTAAGACGGAAAGATCGCATTTTGAGGCCAACCTTGGCAACTTAGCTGGCCAGGTCTCAATTTTTTTTAATAAAAATTTTTACAATATTTTTTAATATTTAAAAAAGGAGAAAAAATAAGAACTTGGCATCTGTCAATCACAGTTAACATCTTTACACCCATAGCCAAACAGCTGCTCTAAAGAGGTAGGCAAGGTTGGGTCTGTGATTTAAAATTTCCCCCAAAAATATAACAGGTTCAGAAGGCTTTAGCAGCAAAGCACCAAGGGTTTAGGAGGAATTAGCATCCTTCTATACATTCTCCTGGAAGATATAGGAACAATGTTTATGAAACCAAAAGAGACATCCAAAAACATCAGCTTATTTTATGAAGTCAAAACAAGAACGAAAAAGGCAAAATCACAAGCCAACCTCACTTAGGACATGGAAGCTAAGCTCCTAACAGACCAACAACAGCATCCAGCACTAAACTTTAAGGTTTGTTTGTTTTTATGTGCATGTGTGTTTTGCTGGGAGTCAAATGACCTGGGACTGGATTTGCAGATGGTTGTTAGTCTCCATGTGGGTGCTGAGGAGCGAACCCCCAGCTCTCTCCAAGAGCAGCCAATATTCTTTTTTAAACTAGAGCTTATTTATTTATTTATTTATTTATTTTCTATATACCAATCCCAGTCTCCCTCTCTCCTCTCCTCCCTCTCCCAGGCAATATTCTTAACCACTGACTTTCTACTCCAGGCCTCTGGCACTAAATTTTAAAAGATCGTATGTCATCTTTAAGTTGTCTTTATTTAGGAACTAAGTATTTGTTTTAACGTTGGGACTTTGTATGTAGGTGTAGTACTCAGAATTAAACCTGTGCTCTTACACATGCTGGACAAAGACTCCACCGCTGAGCTATAAACCTGGCTCTATCATTGGGAAGAATCAAGAGGTTCTGTAGTTAACAGTAGGAAGTTAAGCGTTGCTGGGGACAAACCCAGAGCCTCCTCTATGGTAGGCAAGAACTCTGCCCCTGACTTATAGCCCAGTATGCCCTCTTCTTTGTGAAGACATCAGTTAACAAAGTTGCACAGGATTATGGGGGCAATGTTAGAGGGAAACAGGGACCACAGAGGGGGTGTTGTTGGTTTTTTAACTCTGACTCTTTTGGTTCTTTCTTCTTTGGCAGGCCCGCCATCTAGCTCCCAAATAAACCACACAGAGGCTTTTTCTTTCTTATGAATACCCAGCCTTAGCTTGGCTTATCTCCAGCCAGTTTTTCTTAAATTATCCTGTCTATCTTTTGCCTCTTGACCTTTATCTTTCTCTATTTTATATACCTTTCTTTCCTTCTTACTCATGGCTTGCTGTGTAGCTGAGTGACTGGCCCCTGATGTTTACTTCTTACTCATGCTGGCTGGGTGGCTGACCCCTGATGTCCTCCTCCTCCTTCTCCTTTTCTTGCTCCCCAATCTTTTCTTCACCAATTTCTTCTGCTTATTCTCTCTCTTTGCCAGCCCTGCCTAGCCTTGCTCCTGCCTTGCTATTGGCCATTCAGCTCTTTATTAGACCAATCAGGTGTTTTAGGTCAGCAAAGTAACACAGCTTCACAGAGTTAAACAAATAAAACATAAAAGAATGCAATGCATATTTGCACCATCAAAAAAATATTCCACAGTGTAAACAAACATAACACATCTTCAAATAATATTCCACAGCAAGGGGGGTGTCTGGTATTAGGTTCTGCTTCTCCTGGGAGCATTTGTCAGTTCTGGAGGGAACTAGGGGTGTATGTGGTGCTTTTGATGATTTTGGGGGGCTCAAGGAAAGAGACTAGAGTCCAGAGCCACCAATATAGCTGCTGTATACTACCTTCCTAAAGACCACACCTTAGTGGTGACAATAGCTCAAACTTCACCTTAATGGACAGAACTTCATGTACAGTTCAGCTTCAAATCATGTCAGTGTCTCTCTTTGTCACTTTTTCTGTTGCCATGATAAGACACCATGATGAAGGCAACTTATAAAAGGAACGTTTAATTTGGGTCTAATACTGCAGAAGGTTAAAGTCCGTGACAAACACTGGAGGCAGTGTAGCAACAGGCACCTACCCAGGTGTGGCACTGAGGCCTTTAGCTGAGAGCTCATACCCTGACCTCCAAACACAAGACAAGAGAGCTCGCTCACTGGGAAAAACATGCCTTTTTGAAACCTCAAAACTCACCCCCAGTGACATACCTCCTCCAACAAGGACATGAGTCCTAATCCTTTCTAAATAGTTTCACCAACTAAACATATCAGCCTGTGAGGACCATTCTTATTGAAACTACCACACTTCATTCCCTGGCCTCATAGGCTCCTGGTCAACGCATAATGGAAAATGAATTTAGTCCAACTTCAAAAGTCCCATAGTCTTTCACAGTCTCAACACACTTTACAAATCCATAGTCTTTTTTGAGACCGGAGGCAGTTTCTTAATTGGAACCTTCTGTATAATCAAAAAGCAAATCATATACATCCAACATACTTTTGCACATAATATACATTACCATTCCAAAAGGTATTGGGGTCCGGTGGCAGCCAGGACCATAAATTATTTCTCTGGACCAGCGTGGAGGTGCAGGAATAAAGACACAACTCACATGGCTTCATCAGGAGGGAGATTCTCAGTGGTCCCTCACTGAATCCTGAGTTCACATCCTGAAAATTCCCCGTTTATTCTTCAAACAGCCTTTATACCAAAACGTAAGCTGAGGGGGAAATACATTAGCATTCTGTTTCCTAGGCAACCAGGTGAATGGCTTTTAGTCACGTCCACATCTACCTGTGCCTGCTGTCAAGTCTTCCTGCTCTGTGTGCTAGCTGTCACGTAGGCTGACTTAGCACCTTTTCTCAGGCATCCTCCAAATCACAAAGAAAGGAGCAAAACAACATCCTGACCCTTTGGTAGGGTAGCGACAGCCTGTCTGGAAGGGTGGATGACCACCTCAGGTACTAAGTATGGCCTGAGAGATTGGCTATCACACAATGTAGAAATATGGGCCTACAGAAAGGAAAGAATGGAGCATGAGGAGGAACCAAAGCAAGGCCAAAACCTGGCCAAGCAAACTTCAAATCTTGTAACCACATATCTGATGTCAAGGGCTTAGATGACTTTGCTCTTTCAGTTTCGCTGACTGCAAAATACTCGCTCTTTGGCTGCTCCCACTTCCTGTCTCCCTGGCAGACATCCCTCAGCTTTGGCATCTCCAACATCAGGAGATCACTAACAGATCACAGATTTCACCTTCACATCCTCACACAGTGGCATCGTGGGGCCTCCATGCAAGGATTCCCCTGCCACATGCCTGGCTTCAGCAGCCATCCTTAACCGCTGGGGAAGATTCCACAACCCCTTTACTCATTGTCCTTCCTGAAACTAAAGCCAGAACTACGTGGCTGAAGTTGCCATGTTTGGCTATGTGCTTGGGTTGGAGCCTGGCGCCGCTTTGAATTACGTTTGATCCGTTGCTCCTAAGGAACAAAATATTCCTCAAGCCTTCCCCCCCCACCCCAAATTACAGGATTATCTGACTAGAGTCTTGTCCTGAGGGCCCTGCTCCCCACGCCCTGTATCCCATTTCCCACGGGGCCTCTCCTTAGCTTTTTCAGCCCAAGTTTTGGCTCCAACATTGAATTTTCTGGTGCTCTTGTTCTCCTCCACTGTACACTTCAATTTTCTTCTTGCTCAGCCTGTTCTTTCTCCTTGGAGACCTGTATGGAACAGTCAGATTAGGCTGCCAGGGAAATTAGTCTGTCATTCTTTCAATTTTCAGGCAAATTTTTAGGACAAGGACAAAAAGCATCCACAGTCTTTGCCAAAAGACATGAATGGTTCTTAGCCCAGTTGTTAATATTGTTCCCCTCTGAAGCTTCCTGAGCTGGGCCTCCAGAGACCCACATCGCTCTCAGTACACCACACTCCAAGCTCCTGTTAGGATGGCCCCTTAAACTCTGTTTACAGCATTCAGTCACTCTCCTAGCCCAAAGTCCCAGTCTTCCTCCTAAATGGAACAAAACACAACAAAAACATCACCAACAGAAATGTCACATCAATACCCCATTCCTGGAACCACAATCTGTATTAGTCAGCTTCTCCAGAAGAACAGAACTGATAGAATGAATATATACATTTAAAAGGGGATTTTTTTTTTTTAGAATGTCCTAGAAGTTGTGGTCCAGCTAGTCCAACAAAGGCTGTCTCCTGAAGAAAAGGCCAAGAATCTGATAGCTGCTCTGTCCATGAGACTAG